ATGGCTTTTTTGCGAGTTTTTCTCGTGGGGATCAACGCATTTTATAAAATGCTATATAGGCCAAGAAAAATTTGAAATTTTCTAGAAAAGAAGGAATGCTTGAGATGTAAATTTAAATATTGTTATCCATGTCTGTCAATTGTGATTTTTGGTGATAAGAATTCTTTGTGGATACAAACAAACTTTACTGTTATCATGATTAAAATTGTTTATGTTAAACATTTATACACTTGTGGGTCCCAACAGCGTCAGTGTGCTTAGGCATTCAAACTCTAACTGTTACATAGTTATGGGTGGTTTTAACAGTTTTGGGACATTCTGTATTCAACTGGAATTAGAATTTCAGCCTTAAAAAGACATTGTCTCCTCTATTGTTTTATTCAAATTTAATCAAAATGAATATAAAGCTTCCGAGTAAAGAATGTGCACAACTAATTCTTTGCTTATCAAGTCATAATCTTCACTCGAAAGTCGGGTACGAAGTCCCAGGAATCCTGGGCGAATATAGTACGACCGTAATTGTTTAAAGTTACACAAGAAAAAATCCGTCCCCTGGAGGAAAATTATGTCAGGAATACGAAAGACGTCTTGAACAAAATTTCTTCAGTTGGCATATATTATACGTGAATTCATTGTCTATCTGAATCGAAATGTTAATATTAATGTGAGCGATTTTGCATGGCCATATTAAAAGTTGAGGAATATATTTTTGTGCTTAGCCGGTTGTAAAATTTCGCAAGGTAAAATATTATTCGGTCACCAAAACGTTCCTTATCGATTTAGGGGTCGGCAAACAATGCTCGAAGAGTCAAATTAGGTCTGTGGTTTCGACGATTTTACGTTTCATATTTTCACTAGCTCGATGTATTTTATAGCAAAACTCGAATGGCAATATGTCTGAATGAAATACCATTATGGTAAAGCTGTCAATCTGAATTGCGTGATCAGTGATCAGAAACCAGTGATCTGAAATCTAATGCTTTCAGCAACTTAGCAAGAACTCAAATCACACTCTGGGAATAGCTGAAACAGTATATTTTATATCTGCAAATGCTACAAGGTGGTAATGTGCCTTTGGGCTCTGAAATGTTTTGCTCTAAAGAGTTGTATCCCAGATATTTTTGCTGTTCCAAAACGAGACCAGGGGTATCTCAATGAAAATTAATGATGTCTTTGGAATATTCTGCTGGATATTAAAAAATACCTAAACAGGAGCGCCGGAATATCGATAATAACGGGGGCAGATATTCATATATTCGTGTTCGCAGATCGTAAAAACACTGAATCGATTTCAAAAGGATTTAAATGTATTTATTATTAAACAATAAAGGATGTGATCGAGTTGTTAGTTGATTGCGTGACCCATCCCTCCCCTTTCCCTAACGACTTCACGCGATGTTGTGAACTCTACGGAAGAAGCGTCTTATTAATCTCGCTGGGGTTTTTTTTGTTAGTTTGTTTTGCAGGATTAAGCACTGTCCTTTTCACACCCGTTTTGGTCGTTGAGTTGGGGTTTGGGATAAAGGTAAATTCATTAATGATCGCCACAGTAACAGGTATTTTTTTGTGTGTGTGTGTACTTTGATGTTCGTATCGTTTATTCCACGGTTTCACTTCAGTGACTCACGTGTGACAGTTGATCACGGGATGGAGGAGGTACCGTTAAAATAGCATGGTTCGTAGAGTTATTATCTGCGCCGAAAACAGCAAACTCAAAAGAAACATCGTTTCACCCCTAGCCCGATCGTTTCGCTCGGATACCGTCTCCATCCCTACCGATCGGCAGCGGGCAAAAATATAGTGTGCTGGTGTGCTATCGTACTGATGTGAGCCTTTGGATCAAAGGATTGCTTTAGGATTTAAAGCAATCTGATTGGCTGAGAAGCGTTTCACAGCGGCCCGGAATTTTGCAACCAGCCCGCTGTAAAGTGCATCTGGCCCGCAGTGAAATTTAATCACCTCGCTGTAAAAAATGTGAACAAAACGACAAAACCAAAGCAACGTACGGCTAAATTGGGCGAAAACCTTTCTGAAAAAGGCAAAAAGAATGTTAAAAATAAAAAACATACCCAAAAACGTCTTAGTTTGGACTTTTTACGCCTTTTTTCACCTGTCAATACGTTGTATTTTTAATCGATTTTCCGTTATTTAGTTGCTACAACAATAACAATATTTTTCATTTCATTGTCTGTTTCCCGAGTATGATATCCTTTTTAGGAGTTGTTGGCGTATTAAAATTATAAAATGGCTTGCAGAATTTACCCCCGAGGGTGCGGAACGCTTGCGAGGAACCTAATTCCGCTAGGGGATTAGGAATTACACCCGGTAAACTGGTGCTCACTCTTAACAATTTTTCCTTTGATGGTGAGCATTACCAACAGATAAGTGGTGTAACAATGTGAAGTAAAATGGGTCCCAAGTATGCCAACTTGTATGTAGGTTTTGTGGAAAAACAAATCTATGAACAGTTCACCGGTCCTCTATCTGATTACCTTGGAAGGTACATTAATGACTGTCTTGGTACATTATCGTGTTTCCGTGCAGAGTTGGAGAGATTCATCAAATTTGTTGATGAATTTCATCCAGCACTCCAATTCAGATGGGAAATCAGTGAGGCCAGTGTATCATTTTTAGATATCCTGGTTTCCATCAATGGTAATAAGCTCACTACCTCAGTGTTCTACAAGCGCATTGACTCGATCCCATAGCTACCTCTAATATTCTTCCTTCCACCCCAGCCACACTAAGAGGTCTATCCGGTATTTCTCAAAATAAAGTGAAGATGATGAACTCCGGTCCAAATGTCTTGAGATGAGAACATTGTTTGTCAGCCGCGGCTATGCCTTGACACTGTCTTATCTAAGGCTTCCGACATTTCCCGCTTAGACACTTTTAGCGACCCTGCCTCTACCATCCCCACCATTAATTCTACCCCCTTAGTTCTAACACATAATCCCTTCAATTTTGCTGTTAGGGTTGTCATACTTACAAATATACATATCTTGCAGAATGATCTGGAGACATTAATTTTCACCGATAACCCCTCGTATCTTCTCGGCACAACAAGAATATCCGGGGCACATTGGTTCACAGCTCTCTACAGCAAAACTGTTCAGAGCCCAAAGGCACATTTCCCTGTGCCATTGGCAATGTAAAACATGCTCATTTACCGGGTCCGGCACCGTTATTTCGGCTTCCAATTCACAGTTCTTCATCAGACACCATTTCACATGCCTCTCCTCCAAACTCATTTTATTGTATCTCATGCAACAAATGTGGTTTACTATAATTATATCGGTGAAACTGGAAAATCTCTAAGGGTAACGATAGCACCAACACTTTACCTCTGGTAATCATTGTGTACAACACATGAGAATTAGAGCCCTTTGCCCTTTTTCCGGTACTAACGATAGCCGTAAACGACAGGAAATGCGACTCATCCACAGTTTTGGCACTTTTCATCCCTAGCTCCAGCATAAACGAAAGACTCTCTTTCACGCGAGTAATATGACTTCCATTTCTTTGTTTACAACAAAGCTGGTTGTAATATATTTTCGCTGCTGATCAGGCTTCTCTCACTGCGGGATATTCTTAGCCCACACTCAGGCGTCTCTTTGGCAGAGCAATGTATTCCAATTTGTTTTGATTTTTTTCTATTCTATTAGCCCATTTTATCACGTGTTTTGCTTCCATACAAAACATGTATTCTCCCCTATTTATTTTCATACTAACTCTCCTGCCGAAGGCCCTCAGGTCGAAACATCGAAAAGATTTAAGTGTTTTGTCTATTTTAGATAAATCAAAATGAGCGCGTGCGTGGTCCATGGCGGTTGACCGTGAATTTTTACGCTCGCACAATTTAGTCAATATTTTGTGTATTTATTTGATTCTTGGTGGTGTAACATATAAAAGCAATGCATACTGAAAGTAATTTTGCAATTACTTTCATCTTCAAAACACTCGCAAGTCAGAAACCACAGTATAACGGAAAGTTACGCAAATCAACGGTTAAACGGATCATTATCAATCTCTACTAAATTGAATGAGAATTTTCTTAAACTTTTCTCTCGCTGCTATATATTGATACGCTTGTTTGTGACATCTAATCCTATAACGCCGACGCAAACATACAGCAATTAGTTGAAGTGCAAACGAAACAAGCTGAGCTAAGTGCCCTTTTAACCAAGCAACACGTAACCAACCGTCAACCAGTTAAGGAACCACCAACCCTTAATGGCAATGTATTTTGACTATCCTGCGTAATTCACTACGGCATTTGACTCAGTCTATAATTTGTGATAACGTTTCAGCAGATAAGGATCGTCTTTACTTTCTGAACAAGTACTCTACCGGGTAGGCTAACAATGTGGTGAACGGGTTCTTAGCAGTTAATTCGGAAAATGCATATAAAGAGGCTCGAGGAAAAATTGCTTGATGAAAGTTTGATAATCCTGTGCATGTGGCGGAAGCGTATAAGTCACGATTACGTAATTGGTCACCTATTAAGGCTGGCGATAGCGCTGGAGTACGGAAATTTTCGGACTTTTTAATTCGTTATGCAAGGAAGCCGTAAATGCTGTAGGGTCGCCAAACGAGCTCGACACGAGTCATACGTTAAGCAAAATAAGCGCGAAGCTTCCCTCCTATCTTGAACAAAGTGGTGTTGTCAGGCCTACGAAAAAAGATCGAAGTCCGGGTCGGTGACCTTTAGTGATTTTGTTAAGTTTTTTAAAGAAACTAACGATCCAGTCGCTAACGATCCAGTTTTTTCACCGGACGGCTTATAAAAGGAGAGAAAGTCGAGCGAGAAATTAGACAGCAAACCTAAGGGACGCTATGGGATACAAAGCAAGGCGGTAGCTTTGATTGTGCGACAAACAGCCAGCGAAACGAGTAGAATTCCTCAAATTTCGGATCGCAAAGACGGCAAACGTTTTCGAAATGTCTTTCATGCTCTAAAGGCCACAGTCTGGAAAAATGCCCCAAGTTTAAAAGTAGAGATGAGAGACGAGACTTCGTGCCCAATCAGCGCTTATGCTTTGAATGTTTCAAAAAGGGACACTTGTCATCCGTTTGTCGATCGAGAATGAAGTGGGAAGAGTGTGGTAAAATGCATCCGATATCTTTGCATGGTATATCAAACCGAAGAAACGTTCCACTAGCAAGGAAGACAAGGAACCTCCCGTCCAAGGCAAGACAAATAATGACGACGAGGCATCGCTATCAAACGAATCTGCAAATTCAATGGGTATCTGTGGTTCTTCGAACGTTGTCGAAGACAAGGAGATTGTTACGGCCATGTTTGTTCCTGTGGCAGTCAGCCACAAAGATCGTCCGGACGTCGAAGTCAACGTCTACGCCTTACTCGACGAGGGAAGTAATTCTACCTTGATAAAGAACCCGGTGCTCTGAGAGATTGGCGTGAATGGAACTGAAGTATCATTAAAGCTCAACACCATGCATGGCCAAACCAGTGTTGCAGTGTAGAGAATCGATACACTGGTGGTACAAAAGCTGGACAGAGCTGAACAACCAATATTTCTGACCAAAGAAACGTCTCGAATCCAATCTGCCTAACGAGAAGACTACCTGAAATTCATGCAGAAGGTTATCGACAGTGGCTATGCCGAGAATATTCCGGTGCAGCAAAGAAAGGTCACAGACAAATTCGTATGGCATAAAATTATACCTCATCATGGCGTTTACCACCCAAAAAAACCCAACAAGATACGTGTGGTGTTCGATTGTTCTGCCCAGTTCCACGGCGAATCCCTGAACAATCATCTCTTGCAAGATCCAGACTTGACAAACAACTTGACGATCGTCCTATGCAGATTTCGTAGAGAACCTGTCGCTGTTATGCGCGACATCGAGGCAATGTTTTATCGAGTCTAGCTAACGGAGTTGTGTCAAGATTTCCTTCGCTTTTTGTGGTGAAAAAACGGAGAAACACCGAAAGAACCCGAAGAATACCGTTCATCTTTTCGGAGCAGCTTCGTCTCCAGGCTGTTCAAATTTCGCGTTTAAGTCAGCAGCTGATGATAACGAAGAGACTGTCGGCGAAGAGGCAGCCAAATTTCTTCCACGCAATCTTTATGTTGACGACGGATTAAAATCAGTATTGATCGTGAACTCTTCAGTTCAACTGATTCGTGACGGAAATATGCAAACGGGGTGGGTTCAACCTCCACAAATTTACTTCAAACAGCAAAGTCCTTGGGCAGATCCCAGTAGGTGATGGAGCGGAATATGTCAAAAATCTAAATTTCGAGCAAGGGCTTGGAGTCCATCGAGACGGACGTGTTCAAGTTCACCATTGCTCTTAAAGAGCGTTCCTGCACAAGTCGTGGCTTTCTTTCGACAGTAAGTTCCGTATTCCATCCTCTTGGATTCGTCGCACCACTACTTCTAGAGGGAAAATCGATCTTATAAGAATTCTACCGTTATAAGCTTGGCTGGCACAACCCAGTACCTGACGACATGCGCATAAGATGGTGCAAGTGGAAATCCGAGCTAAAAAAGTAGAGTTGTTCTCAATTCCACGTTGCTACAAGGTAAAGGACTTCGGTCCAATCGTGAAATCCGAGCTTCATCATTTCTCTGATGCTAGTTTTCAGGGATATAGTCGGTGCAGTTACCTTCGCCTGGTTGACGTTATTGGCAAAGTCCATTGCTCCTTCGTTCTTGGAAAGTCGAGAGTTATGCTATTGAAAGTGGTAACAATGCCAAGGTTGGAGCTCACCGCCACAAAGTGAGCGAGCAATTACATCGAGAGTTGGGTGTGACGACTACGAAAGAATTCGTCTGGACTGACAGTCAAGTAATTGAGTTCTGGGATACATTGGCAATTCGGTTCGACGTTTCCACGTATTTGTGGCAAATCGAGTACAACGAATACCAGAAAGCTCGTCGTTCGAGCAATGGGCGTATGTCGACACGAATTACAACCCAGCAGACGAAGTTTCTCGGAGTTTACGACCAAGCCAACTATCCAACTCTAAATGGATTAACAGATAAACTTCCTGTGGAAAGGTCAGGCTGCCTGGTTAGATGTGACCATCGCAGAAGATGACCCCGAAGTGAAAAAGGTTGTTTCCTCGCCACAGTTGCTGAAGTTCCGTTTCGTACGTTACTAAAGCGAGTCTCGTATTTCTCAGATTGGCATCGAGTGAGAAAAGCGTTTCCGTTGTGTCTTCGATATGTAAACATCCTTAAAACCAAAGTAATTAAGGGTGAAGAATATAAGCGCCGTAAGGGGAGGAAGAACATATGTAAGAGAGCTATGATTCTCGTTTCTGTTGAAGAGTTACGCCAAGCCGGAGTAATAATTATTAACGCCGCCCAACGCCATGTTGATATGAGTGTTTCGAACTCCGGTCCTTTAGCTCGTCTTCAGTTGTAAAATCTGAGGTCGTCTTCCCTTGTCAAATCTGCCCGGACACTGTGCGTACACCCTGTAGTACTACCGAAAAACAATCATGTTACGGATTTGATTGCCAGATATTTGCATCATAAAGTTCATCATCAAGGAAAAGGTTGCAAAATTAATACAAATAAGTGAAATTAGAGAAAATAGATACTGGATTCTCGGTGCGTCCTAACTTGTCTCTAGGGCCATATGTATTAGGTAAATGTGTCCCAAACTACGTGGAAGTGCTCAAGAGCAGCGTATGGCCTTATTGCATGCCACCAGATCGTTTAGAACCTGCGCCGCCCTTTAAAATTTGTGCTGTCGACTACTTTGGGCCTTTCATTATCAAGGAATGTCGCAAGGAAATTAAAAGGTATGGAGTTATGTTCACATGTGTGGCATCGAGAGCTGTACATATCGAAGTCGCAAGAAGCCTTGACACAGATTCCTTCATTAATGCACTCCGCAGATTTCTAAGTAGAAGAAGTCCAATTCGTGCAGATACGATAGATCCTGAGTTGTCACGCCAGAATACTGCGAAACAAAGATGATCCTTGTACATCGGCATACACATATTTCGCTCTATTTTATGTAAGGTCAATTTCAATTTGCGCAAGTACTGTAAACAGAACTCTCGAGCTGTTAGAAACGCATTTAGCCATATCATATGAGTCACTCGCAGCGCCAGATGTTATTAGAAATATTATAACTTATCATATGGGGGGTCTCCAAATAACTTACTTTATGCATACGCCTTTTAAACCGCCCGGCAATTGATTGATATGAGCAACATATGCCATAAAGCACGCAAAACCGAGTAATTTTGACATAATTTTGCGAAATTTTCTTCATTTACAATTTTCTCCATATAGTATAATTGAACGCGTCGTTTTTTCGTTGCGTCGAATGCAACTCAAAGAGATGATAAACATCACTAAGACACTAACTTCAATTATTAATATTGTCATCTCATTATCAAAAGTTCGAATTGCGTAATGGATACATGCTGACGACCGCACTAACCACCGTCTATGATTATTATTACTTTGTGCTTTAAAATTGCAAATTAATCCAATTGCCAGTATTATCATGATTATAGGTGTCATTCCTGTTACGCGAAGGCGGAAGCGGCAAGATCGTTTTAAAAATCTCTTGGAAACCCCTAGGAATGGAGGTTGCATAAATGTCTGTTAACACGCGCGTACGACCTCATTTTGTTGCATCTAATTCACAAGCTATAAAACGTCCGTCAGAAGTTAATTGGATTCAACAAATTTTGATAACAAATGCCTTTAACGCGAGTTTCGTGCTCGAAAGCGAGGCTAGGATCAAGTTTCCTCCAGCGCGTAAATTTGAGACTATAAAACAGCGTTATAGCGTTATAGCATTTTTTAACTCAGAGCCTAAAGTGTACTTAAAATGTATACTTATAAGTCCTGTCTCGCGGCTTAATGCCAAAAATATGAACAGTTAGTGCGAATAAACTTAAATGAGTAGTTAAACAATCCTGGACATTGCCTTTATGAACTGCTACCGGAAAAACGAAAGCGATCTTTAAGAGAACGTGATCACCAATTCATATTGCTGAAAGTTAATACAGAACGTTTTAAACAATCATTTTTAAATAAGTGCCTTTTTAATGACTTTTAATACCTTTGCTATATCTTACTATTATAATGTTTATAATGTAATGTAAATAATTTAGTTGAAATATAATGTAAATAATTTATTTATAGTATAAATATAATAATTTAGCTAAGTCTTATGCAATGTAAACTCCCACGTTTGTTGTGACTCCTTTATGCAACATTCTAATTTTAATAAAGACTTATACATTCCAAATGGGTATGAAGCGATATCGTGAAGCTGTTAGAATTCGACCACCGACGCGTATTTTTAAATTCATTTTCGCTTTTTCAAAACTTTTCGGATAAGGAGTAACATATTATCCAGCTCGTCTATTCATGTGATCAAGATGCTCTGGTCATTAAAGAACAATATTAGCTATTTATCAAAATTCTTTCTTAAAGAAATAGCTAGTCGAGACAGCGTCTTCACTATATAGAGTCATTTCGACAACAAATAAAATCTCTTAGACACAAACACTTCAGTTGGTAAGTGAACTTTATGAAATAGGAAATAGGAATTCGATTTATATAGGACAAGCAGCATCAGGTATATAAATTTTTGTGCTATCCAACAAGATCCAGCACTATATAAAGCGGCCCGGTACTATTGATGAAATAACTTTTTTAATTTATTTCTAGTAATTAATCATGCATGCCAATAATTATAATAAAGATTAAGTTAAGTAATTTCTAATGCGCTGTAAAATGTTTGTGTATGGATAAGAATATCTTATATCTTTCAAATTATTGTGTAAAGTCCAAGAATTCAACCTTCCTTTTTTTTGCAAAATTAAACATGTAGCTATTGATAAAGGGTGATAATAATTATAGCGAGCACAACAGTGAACATACTTAAAGTACTCACTTGTGGGATCTTTACGGATTTGAATAGAGCTTGAAAAATTAGTTTATGAGTTCTACAACCCTTTTTGATATAGTTAAATAGTTTCGGAAATATTTACATCTAAACATGACGATTTGCCTAAATTTCCGTCGTGCTCGGGAGCCTGGGACTCAGGAACCGAGTTCTTGTCAAACATTATATAATCAATTGCAATTTTACTTCGATCTTCAAATAACGTAAAATATTTTGAGAAAAACTCGCGAAATATAATTCGTGCATGCACAATACACTTTGAAGGTGACTGAAGATGAGCTGATTCGCAAACCCAAAGTTAAATCTAAAATTTCTATATTTCACCACTGTTTTGCGCGGTTTTGTTTCACTTGAGTTACTGATCATCGATTGTTCTTCCTGCCAGACTTTACTTCTTCCGATTCAGAAGGTTCTTTGATTTCAAGATACATAATTATACAGTGTATATAACAAAGTAGAAA